TTCTTCAAAAATCCTGTTCCAATTTGAAACAGACAAAAAAATACAGACAGCTTCAAGACGGTCACATTAAGATTTGAACTTTTAACGTTATTCTTACATATGTATTTACACACATAAATCATCAAAAAGTTCTGTGGCCCGTACGGGGATCGAACCCGCGACCTTGGCGTTATTAGCACCACGCTCTAACCAACTGAGCTAACCGGCCTGACGAGTCCCTTATCCCTACATACACACTGAGAACAAAGAACGACTGCAGTTGAAGCTGATACTGTTTACAGTGAATTTACAATTGCCTCTAAATTAATGGCTCTATGACTTTGTGAAAAAAAGGGGGCATCCAAAAATTAAAATTAACGTTACTTACCGTTATTTACTGGCGTTGTCCCAAAACCCATCTGACTTTGTCTTTGATGGATAAAGATTAATAATAATGTCTTTCCAAAATGTAATTTTCATACTATTCCACAGGGGTGTGGACTCGAGTCACTTGACTCGAGACATGACTCGGACTCGAGTCCCAAATTTGATGACTTGCGTTACTGTTATTAATGTGTTATTCCTGTGTTATAACTGTGTTATTACTGTGTTATTCTGTATTATTACTGAATTATTCCTGTGTTATTACTGTGTGATTACTGTTTTATTCCTGTATTATTACTGAATTATTCCTGTGTTATTACTGTGTTATTTCTGTTATTACTGTGTTAATAATGTGTTATGTGTTATTGCTGTGTTATTACTGTGTTATTAATGTATTATTCCTGTGTTATTACTGTGTTAATCCTGTTATAACTGTGTTATTACTGTGTTATTCCTGTGTTATTAATGTGTTATTCCTGAGTTATTTCTGTTATTACTGTGTGATTTCTGTGTTATTACTGTGTTAATCCTGTGTTATTACTGAGTTATTCCTGTGTTAATTCTGTGTTATTACTGTGTGATTACTTTTTTATTCCTGTATTTTTACTGAATTATTCCTGTGTTATTACTGTGTATCTCCGGTGTTATTTCTGTTATTACTGTGTTATTACTGTGTTATTCCTGTGTTATTACTGTGTTATTTCTGTTATTACTGTGTTATTACTGTGTTATTCCTGTGTTATTACTGTGTTATTTCTGTTATTACTGTGTTATTACTGTGTTATTCCTGTGTTATTACTTTGTTATTACTGTGTTATTAATGTGTTATTCCTGAGTAATTTCTGTTATTACTATGTTATTACTGTGTTATGCCTGTGTTATTCCTGTGTTTATTATGGTGTTATTACTGTGTTATTGCTGTTATTACTGTGTTATTAATGTGTTATTTCTGTGTTATTACTGTGTATTTCCTGTGTTATTTCTGTTATTACTGTGTTATTACTGTTATTTCTGCTATTACG